CAATCCTACTTCAACACAACTAATATCACACCCACCCCTAATAGAACCCCATAATAACACATTTCACAATATTGGTGTTTTATAGTTGATGGGTTGTTTGCCCCATATTTGAAGAGGATGGGAAACCCTATGAGCCATATCCCTGATTATTCTTGAGTTATTTTTGTTGAATGGAAAGCTCTCGGAGGTGCGTCATTGTTTGATAGATATCCAGTCTGGTGTGAACCAAATCTTGGGAGATAACCTGGTGTAACTCTCACAGGCATGTTGCTATGTGGTTTTGTTTTATTTTCCATAGGCATCATAATGGAGGAGCAGCTAGATCCTAGGGGAGTGTAAGTGATGCAAAAAGAGCCTGCGAAATTAAATTCATCTTTTTTTTAATCTTAGAACATACATGAAACAACAACAAAAAGTAGAGAAATATGGTGTAAATCAAGTCGAGAGGGAGTAGATGCTATGTTTCTTCCTTTGTAAAAACTGTTCCCCAAAAGAAAAGAAAATAAAATAAAATAAATTAAAAAAAAACAATAAATTAAAAAAAAAAAAACCGAGTTTTTTCCTCTTTCTCTCTTCGTTAAGAACAATTTTTTTTTCCTGACTCCTCCATGCAGCTTTACGTTATCCCAATAGGATATCGAGAGATCTCCTAATGTAAATCATGGAACTATTAACTTAACTGATACTACCCTACCCATAACAATTAATAAATTCCCTCTTTATCCCTCATAATCCAAGCTTAATCCCCCTATATCGTCATCCCAAATGGACCACTAATAAAAAATACTCCCACATCTCTGAAACATAAATTATAAATTTTGAATATCTCTTGTTTGAATAAGTATTTTTTGTTTTCTGTTTTGGTTAAAAACCGTATGTGAAAATATATGGTAGCACATGCAGCCAGTGCGAGCAATACGAGTTATTGATGAAAATTTTGAAAGAATAGAAAACTTTGACAATAAGTTTTTGGTGCGTTGAGAGATTTGGACATGGTTTAAGATTTGGAGATGGTTTATTTTCGTAGAGTTGCTGTTGATAGGAAGTTCGTGGAGGATTCTTGCTCTGAAACCAATTCGGTGGTGGTGGGATCCTTTTCACCTCCCTCTAATGATGTTTTCGGATTGGGTGATTGGGCTAGGAGGGGATGGAGTCTTTCCTACCTGCCCGAAGTTCGATCTTTGGGAGATTATAAAGTGGTCTTCTTTCTTTGATCCGCTAATGGGATAAATTTTGTGCTTTCCCTAGATAGATTTGCCGGAGTTCGTGGTAAGCTTTTATCATTACCTTCCTGGAGTCCTTCGACTCATGGCTCGTTATCTGTAAAGGAATGTGTTTGGGTTTAGATTCTGGGGCATCCCATTACATGCTTGGAAACTTGTCATCTTCCAAAAGCTGGCAAATGTCTGTAGTTCGTACTATGATATTGATTAGGAGACAGCTGCAGGATGTGGTTAATGGTGGTTTGGGCCATGGAGTTGGCTTTTGGCACAGGTGAAGAAGATATTCAAGACCATTCGTAGGCGGAAGTTGATGTTAGCCTTGAAGATGTTGTTAGTTGAGGTTCTGGTGGCTCCCTGGAAGTCTCGGCTTCCCAGCCAATTGACATGCTTGAGAAGCCTATCTGCAAGCATTCTGTATTGACAGGGGAAGCTGTTGGTGAAGATGGTAAGATTGAATCGATGGTGGATGATATAGGTTTCTCGTTTGAGATTCCTCTATATGTTGTTGTGCAGACCATCAAGGATAAGATGAAAGCGGATAGAGAAGCTAAAGCAGCTACAACGAAAGAGTCTTCTGTGATTCTTGAGACTCCTAAAAATCTTATGTGATCCCTGAGACTCCTAAGAAGAAAGCTCTGAGTCACTCGTACCAAAAGGAGAACCTTCCCGTAATGCTTTGATTTCAATGCAACATGCTTTTTAAACATATTATTAATACAAGCTCATAACATTTGTCAAAAAAGTGAGGGCATTTTCCAGCGTTCAGAGTGGCTTAAAAAGGTCCAGTTATTTCTCATCTTCAATATGCATATGATACACTCATTTTTTGTGGAGCAGATCCTTGGCAATTAAGTAATATGTGGAAATTTTTTTTGTATTGTGAGGTGCCTTTGGGGTCTGAAGGTTAATTTTTACTAAAACTTTAATTATTGGGATTGGGTGTGATGATAATTTGATGGGTTCATTGGCTGTTATGATGGGTTGTTGATAGATACCTTTCCCTTTACCTATCTTGGGATTCCCATCTCATCCACAAGGCTTCCAGTCTAGGCGTGGGATCGGATAAACGAGAAAGTTCAATGTAAATTGGACCTTTGGAAACCCAAATACCTCTCCCTGTGCCGTAGGATTACACTTAGCAAATCTACTAGTTTATATGATGTCAATGTTACAAATGTCGATGATTTTAGCAAAGCGTAGTGAATGTCTAATGCAAAATTTTCTTTGAGGATCTTATTATGAAAACTAAAAATTTCATTTAATGATATGAGATAAGAGTGTGCACACCAAATGAGGAGGGGGGACTTGGTATCCGAAAGATGTCTTTGTTAATTCAACCCTTTTATCTAAGGAAAAAGTTTATATAAAGTTGCAACCTTAAAATGTAGAACTACGGATGCACCTAAAAAATCCATCGGAAAAGGTTGTTTTAATTTTGAAAAGCCCTCTAATTGATCATCTCGAAAAAAAAAAAGATTTTGAGTCAAAAAAATGTTCATCTTATAACACATTAGCTAGACTGTCCATTTTCAAGATTTTCATATATTTATAGATCTACTTGATTTTAATTATTTTTAAAATTTAAAATTTTATAATTAGATACGAAAATAGATTTTGAGATTAGCTTAAGAATATTTTATATAAAAATTATATATTGTGATACAATTTGAAAGTGCACTTTAAATGGATTGTTTAAAGCTGCAACATTATAAAAACCACACCCTTTATCTAAATGTTGGTGGAGAGGTGTGCATCATTAGGAGCAGTTGCCGTGAGTCTTAATCCCAAGTATGGGAAGGATACGTATGGTCTTTGGATAGGTCAAGGTAGACGTAATTCACATATTTCTTTTGTGGAAAGCCATCTTGGCCACTAAACAGTTAGTCAGATGGATGATGGCAGGGGTGATGCCACTTTCTTTTGGCATGTTAAATGGCTTGGGGATTGGCCATTGAAATTGTCTTTTGTAGAGTTATTTGAGAGAATAACCGCCGCTGAAATAGAGGTTTCAGATTTAGTTGAAATTAGAGGGGATCAAGTTTCATGGGATATCAATTTTCGATATAATAGAATCTCTTGTAGAATTTTTAATCAATTTCTCTCTTTAATTTAATTGTTGGGTACAATTTTTATTTCAACACTGGTGGAGGATGAGATAGTTTGGGAACTCAAGAATGATAGCTTGTTTTCAGTGAAATTTGTTTATAGGCTTCCTTTAATGATCAGGTGAGGTCGTCACAATATAGTCTGGTGGCTATTTGGAGATGGCCTATCCCACAGATGGTTCAAACTTTTATATGGCTGGTTGTACAAGAGAGAGTGTTGACAATGGATAAGCTTATTAAGAGGGGAAAGGTGCTACTAAATGTTTGTTTCATGTGCAATGGTGATGGGGAGTCGGGGTCCCCTTTAATTTTTTCATTGTCAATTTGTCTCTGTTATTTGAAACTTGTGCTTCCATTTGTTGGGAATGCCTTGGGTGTTGCCTTTAACATTTTAGGCATTCTCACGTGGTTCTCAATAATTTTAAGAGGTGGGCAAATCTTTATGGATGATTTTAAGGGGAGTACTTTTTTGGAAAATTTAGAAGGAGAGAAAAAAGAGAACTTTTGAAGGAGTTTCATTAGGATAGAATTATGAATAATATTCTTCATACGGGAGGTGGTTCTCAATTACAAAAGAAGGATGATGGCTTCCTGAGGTTGATGTCCATTTGAAATTTTCTAATTTGTTTAATATGAAGAGGACTAAATGTCGTCCTATAACTTTTTGGAGCCCACCACTACACACTACATGGTTTCTGTACGCCGAATTTTGATGGTAGCCTTTGGGCAATCTTCTGTAAGAGGAATTTTTAGCCCTTTGGTAATCCTTTGTAAGTTGGCAATCCTCTGTTAGAGGAATTTTGATGGTAGCCCTTTGGCAATCCTCTGTAAGCTGAATTTTGATGATAGCCCTTTGGCAATCCTTTGTAAGCTAAATTTTGATGGTAGCCCTTTGGCAATCCCAATGATGCTGATTTGGGTGGAGTGGTTAGGGACCCTTTGGCAATCCCAAGGACCGAAATGGCGTTCCCTAGGCATTTCCTTTTTGCTTACACAAAATATTGTGGAGTAGTTTCGGCTAATACAACTGAGACGGCTACACTTCTCAATTTGGTTCATGAAAAATTATGGGGAAAAATTAAGGGGACATAATTGAGGGTGATTTTCTAAATGCAGTTCTATGTAGTTGAGGGTGATTCTCTAGATTAGTGGTGTAAGAAAGAACCTTGAGTACCTTGGCAGCAAATTCATTCCTTGTTGCAAATTGTGGATTTGGCCGATAGGATGGGGTTCTTTTCATCATGTTTATAGAAAAGATAACGATCTTGCCGATGCTTTGGCTAAAAAAGAGGCTTCGCTAGATTCTCTGGTTGTGATCTTTGATTTGAGATAAAAATAATTATCGAATATTGTCAAAAAAAAAAAAAACAAACAAGTGGCGATGAACCCAAGCTGTTTGGGGTAAACAGCTAGACTATCCTAATTATATTCATATTTCCCTAATTATATTCATATTTTGCTTTAGGGCACTGCAAAACCCAAGGCCTCACTCAAAGGACAAGCGAAATACCCCAAATTTTGGGGTAAATAGCTAGACTATCCCCAATTATATTCATATATAGTATACCCAAATCAAAAGTACTGCCATTTGATGCTATCAAAGTTCCAAGCAAATATTCATCTACCTCTTTCAAGAGACCAAGATTCAACCATTATGTAGATTACTTGTGAATAAATGAGATCTTTCTAAATAATTTCTAAATAATAAGCGAGGCAAACACCTTTACAAATATGCAACTCAAGCCCTGACACTAATCCAACCATGCTTGCACACCCAAATCACCAAAAAATCAAGACTCATGGACTCATGGTGGTGATACCAATTACCAAAATCCATCAATTAATTAATAATGATGGTGAAACTAATTACCAAAATCCATCAATTAGTTGTATTAACTAATGGTTCTAAAACAAAAAATTTTGGTGTCCTAAAACAAAAGAAAGAAGAGAGGGGGCTCATTCAAAAGCCCACTGGTTCTCCCTTCTCACTTGAGCCTCTTCTTCAGGTGAAAAATCATTTTCAATTCCAAAAGTCTTTCGGACCTCTTCAACAGTCCAATCCTTCATGCGATCCGCGATAGTGAAGGAAGTCTTGTCAAGCAAATCCTTTATGTTCAGGTAATTTGCCGCCTGCAAAAACAATACACAGTAAATTAATCAATATGGAAGAAATTGACACCCCAAGATGCTGAGAGAGGCATCATTTGTTTTGTGAAGTCAAGAGAATTCACATTCAACTTCAAAAGAGACAAATGGAAAAAAGAAAGGCAGCTGATGAACGCACAAATAACAATTCAAGAAATCCTCTTGAGTTCGATACTAAGTGAGAAAAAGTATCTTGTAACATACCAACCAAACAAATCCAATGGTCACCTTGCTCTTTGTTATAAACTCCATTACCGACAAAATTCAGGAAGGAAATAAATCCATTGGTCACCTTGTAGAGCAAGGATGAATAGAAGTAGCTTGCAAGGGATAAAGATGTACATGTATCACAAATTCAACTCAATGACCGACTCACCACAAACACCATGCCCATCTAGCAAGAGACAAGATTTACAACATCAAGAGACAAGATCTACAATATGCAGAACTTACTAGTTCGGTAAATTCAACTCGATATATATATCGTTCTTACCATGTCAAGCACTCAAGCTAGAAGGACAAAAGATTCACAACATGCATTACACAAAGTATTACAAGTAGACTACCCAAAAGTAAATGCTTGTTCTAGATAATTATCCTAAAAGGCCGGGATTAAGAAATTTGCAATACGGCCCAATAGAAGAATATGGGATACCACTACAATGTCCTTAAAAGATTTATTTATCAAAAGATTAAAATATTTGTTTCTTACCAAAATTCACTTCCACCGAAAAAAAAGACCACCACAAGGAGAACTTTATTGCTTCTTCTTCGTTATTTTTACTCTTTTTTCCTTTTTTCTTTTTTTTTTTTCATTTTTCTTTTTGTAAGTATTTATCTACCTATATTTTAAT